AGATCTCCTATGTCCAATCTGGAGTAACAAGGAGCGAGAAACATCCCCCTGTCTCGTCTTTCTTCCTCCTCCCTCCCCTTCCTCATCACCATCGCCCTGGCCGTTTTGCCTCGCCATACTGCGCGTCGGATAAAACCAAGTGTCGGACGCCCACGCCGTGTGTCACGCCAGAAATTCTTTGCGAGTATTCCCTAATTTCTTCAGTTCGACGAGAAAATATTCGCGGCAAATCTATGCGCTATTGCGGGATGAATGATTGGGAGTCAGCAGTAACGGGAATGACAATTTATTGACGGTATAAAAGTGCAGGAAGATTCATATAAGGTCTGTTCTTTATAGCTGAACTGGCTGCACTAGTTCAGAGTTTATCTTTCTCCTTCCAATATGGATAAACTCTGAACTAGTGTAGTCAGTTCAGCTATAAAGAACAGATCTATAAACTTTCTGTTTTTTGAAACGTCAAAAACTCACTCTCGAAAATACTCTAAACTAATTTCTTAAAATCCGTCCTTATATATTCTCTATCACACACACTTTCGATTCCCGCGCGCATACATTCTCGCTATTTTCCAAAGTTTCAATCGTACGCTGCATTCGTAAACAATTATGTATCAAACGGTCCGACATACTCCCTCGCTCATTCTCTTACTCTCTTTCTCTCTCTACGTTTTGATAACGTGAAAGACAAGTAACGACGGAAAAGAGTGAGGCCGAAAATTGCGCGAAATAGTAAGGTTTAGTATTATTGGAGAGGATACGAAGCCGATTTGCACGAGGTGTCGCCGTGCGAATAATAAAGACGCGATAAACATATCAAGGGCAAAGTCGATTCGACTTTTGATGAGACAGTAAAAGAAACATGATTAGAGCTGTTCAAAAGTGAAATGAGAATATCGAGCGAACCTATTATTTGAACGCGCGAAATTAGAGTAATTATGAGCAACGTGTGAAATAAGGAATAATAAAGGACCGGCATTGAGGTAATAAACGGACTTTCCGTCGCGAAATCGTTCATTATTGTAAGATCTAGAATATTAAGAATTTATTACAAAAGAAAAAAACCGAATGTGCATTCTAAGACTTAGTCCGCATTCTAAAGAAACACACTCAGTTAAGTGCAAAATATTTTTACCTGACTGCAAGTATCAGACATGCCACACAAGATGCCAAAGATGTCGGAACAGATGTGCTAAGAAAAGGCGCCACCACAGCAGGGAATCGTAAATTTCTCATTTGTATTTCTATGAAATTTAATAGAATTACAATAAACGTCACGCTTCGAAACTCTAGATTTATGTATTTGGGTATAATCGTCAAAGCTGTCGGTATTCAGGCCTGTCCAAATCATCGGAAAGAAATTTTCTTTTAATATCACCGGAACGTGTCTTTATGTCCGACGTCGTATTTAACCGAGAATTTGTCAGAATGAAAAAAGGTGTAAATGGCGACGAAGTGCCATAAATTTATTTATTTAACATAGAGAGAAAGAGAGAATTTTTACCTTCATTCAACTTTACGTGAAGGAACGTGTCTCTCAGGGATTAATGATACTGCACAGCTGCATATGGCGCCAGTGAGCGGAAAACTTTCATTTGTTTCATCAGAAGCGTACTGGCGCCAGCTCGAAAAGCAGTAGATACAAGTGCAGAGAATTCTCGTTGATCACGTCAAAGAAAATACCACATTAGATTCTCTTTATTCGCACATTACCGACATGTGTGATACGGCCCTCTCTTTCTATTGTCTCATCGAAGCGAAAAAGTTTAATCGACGAGGAAAATGTTCGAAAGGAGACGCGAACGATGTCTGAATAACTCGGCGCGTTTCTCGATTGCAATAAACATTAATTGACACAAACCGAAGAATCTTGCCGCGGTGATTATCGGCTACGCTTTCCCCTCTGTTTCTTTCTTTCGCGTTGTATAGGACATGTTCATGGTATATCGTTGTTGTCAGTGAAGCCGAGGTGACCTTAGGTCTAATTTAATGCGACGATACGATGCGCGATGTGCGTCCGCTCGCGTTCAAAAAACAAGCGCATCGCGTTACAGCGCCGTATTATCTCGCTGGCCGATCGCTCGCGACGCTGTCTATTACCCCGTTAAGTATAAACGGTTGTGTCGACGGTTTACGAAGTAAATGAGGTAAACGTAATCGCGAGCAGGTTGCGCGCCATTCGTTGCATTTTCGTTTCTGCCACAGCTGATAACACCGTTCGCTATCATTCCGCTTATTCAGCGCGTATATATTCTTCGGCCGGCGATATAAGTGCATTTGTGGAAGTGGAAGTATAGATTTCACGCAAAAGAACTCGGCGTGTCGTTGGAAAAGAATCGTTCGATCATTGTTTATATTCTTTCTTTGACGCCGATGAAATTTTCGCTCGACGTGTATCGATATTTCTCCGCACTTAATTACATGTAGCGCGACGCGCGTATTGTTTTTATGTAAATTTTCGCGTATAATATAATGTCCAGAGTCTGAAAGTTGAACGACGCCAATGGGAATCCGCTCATGTTGCGTCGTATCGCGTCACATATTCTTCAAAATTGTTGAACCTTGTGGAAATCAATCGACCGAATCTCCAGCTATGGATCGATTTCACGAACTTAACGCGTCGCTTGACGCGAATTCAACAGTTCTCTCGTCAACACCTCGTCGCGTTTACAGCTACATTCGATTCTCAGAAAAACCACGAGAAATTGAAGCTCGAACGTCTAGCGCTTATTGTCAGCCCAAAGGCGTAAAATACGCGAATAACAATACTAAATCTTCTCCGCATTCCATCGCCGCGACAATGAGCATTGTGCCGGCACCTCCATGCCGTGGACGAGTTTGACTTCATTCGGTGTTCGGTCGTTCTTTTCGGCGCCGAGGGGAAGAATATTATTGTTAAAGAGAGAGAGAGAGAGAAAGAGAGAGAGAACTCGGCGGCGGTCCGAACTCGATGGAGCGTTACATCCGCTCCTTGTGCGCGCTGAATAAAACCGTTCTTACTTTTTCTCTTCATTTCTCTCCCTTCCGCTCCCCCCCCCCCTCCCCCGTCTCAATTCTCTCGCGGCGGGCCGGCATTGCTGAGAATCTATTAGATTTGTCATTCTCGATTATGAATAGTCTCGAGACGCGACCGGACCATCCTTTCAAGTCGATCTCTCTAAGCTCCTTTCTTCTCCTCTTCGTTCATTCGCCTTCTTCTCTCGCTTACCCTACCCGTTCCTCCGCGCTCCGATCGCCGGCTACGCTCGCGCCCGCGTCTTTTTCTTTCCGGCCGCAAGCGCCATACCTGTTCGTGTTGTGTGAAAACGCAAGATGCACCGTCAGAATTCCATCGTAAAATTCTACAATAGAGACTGATGATCCTGCGGGACGATCCTGCTATTTCTTCTTATTTCGCTTCGCGTACGAGCTCCGTACAATGACGACTTAAATCGCCGGCGAAATTGGGAGTCGTCGCGCCTCTCGATCCGAGTCTTTTCGCGCGCACGGTTTTTTTTTCCCCCCCTCCCGTTCTTTCTCGGGGTTTTTTCTTCTTATTCCGCGATCGGAGATATGCCGAGTGACGGCGGAGGGTGGAGTTTCGGTGCGTCGGGTGGGATAAATGGACGGCCTAACGGCGTGGGAGTGCTAACATCTCGGTCTCGTCATCAGATGCGCGCCGGCGATAAAAGCGGCGCCGCGCGCAAGGGTGGCAGGCGGACGGGCGCGAAGATACCTTTCTCACTTGGAATTGTCGTTTGGCCGCGTTCGTGGAACGCCCGGCCGATCTCTCGCCTCCAAAATAGGTTTTACGGGACGCCGGAATCTATCCAATTAGTCAACGAAAATAATAATTCGACGGCGTAACGAATGGAAACGTGAAGACCGACCATAAAGGGGAGAGAAAGAGGTGAGCATTGTCGGATCTTGTGGTGTGCGCGCGCGGGACCGTCAACACAGAATCCGTCGTAAAATCCGTTTCAAGGCGGAAGATATTTTTCTTGGAAATGTACACGACGAACGTCGTCCACGACGAATGCGCATCCGGTTTAATATCCTCGTTGCAGGGCGAAGAATGCCGCAGGTATCTCACGTGGAATCTGCAAAAGCGTCCGTTCCTTCTCCCCTTCCCTCCCCCCCCCCCCTCTCTGTCACTCGTTTTCAAACGTAAGAACATTATCGCGGTCCTTCTTCGTCATTTTTCTCTTCTCGCCCTGAGATCTCGCGTACACGTCCGTTTTCCCCGCATGTGCTCGTTCCTCGTAGCCTCCTTTCGCGCGTTTGCAGCCTAATCTGCATTTGCGCGACATCCGCAAGTAGTTAATGAAAATAGCGGATGCATAGGGGAGACGTGCCAGATTAATCATTATGCGGGGAGGATATGCCATCTGTTATTCTATTCGTCACGACGCGTCAAAGCGAATAAATAATGCGCGACTCTATTACGTCGACGTTCGATATAAACTGCGAACTTTGAGGCATATACGATTGACGTCGCGAGCGAAATTTGCATCGTGTACGCGCAGTGAACTTATTTAACGTCGCCGTCATCCCGATGTGTCGTGAATCTGATGGAGATTTATCGCGTCTGCGGTCTGTGCGTCTTCATTCAAAACATTCGAGCCATTGATGTGTCATTACCGATGTTTATCGCGCTGCGTCTTTCCGTTCCGCGAAATTCCCGCTCGCGTCCTCGTTCTCGACGGTTTTTTTTTTTTT